ATGTCCTTTGTTTATGGTTGTATTTCATTGACTGGCTCTACCTCCTGGCACACGCCCAACAATGCCCCTTCCTCAAGTGTGTGCTCACATTTAGAGAAATTAGCCACTGTTATGGGTGCTACTTGATGACCTGCCACAAGTGACCTTCCAATCTTCACGTCTGCTGGGCTGGATGGGTCTTCCACTGCTTCCACAATCATCGAGCTTCCTTGGGGATGTTCTTTAATTCCACCCCAAATTATCTTCTCTGACATAGGGGGTATTGTAATTGACTTAAGTGCTGTGACATGCAAATCAACAGAAGCAGCAACACTTACTGAAATTTGGCCTTTGTTGTTCCCAAACGTCATTTTATCAAAATTAACTACACACTTCCTCGGTAGTAAGTAGTCCAACCCTAGTATGCATTGGTCTTTAATGTCAGCCAATTATACTTTCTGTCTGTCCTTTATGCCCATGAGCGCAATAGTTACCCACACTGATCCCCACAACTTTGCATAATGTCCTGTCACACCACAGAGCTTCTGTATGACTTCTGGTACTCCTTTGTGATCTAGCACCTTGATACTCACAAGGGTTTGCTGAGATGCAGAATCTATGACAAAATTGCACCTTTGTCCATCCAACTTTCCTGTCACATAAACACTATGTGTGCTTGCCATTTTACACTTAGCTGTTGGGACTTTCACAATGGGGTTGGTGGGCGTCCCTCAGCACCAACCACTACTGGTTTCCCGAAGCTGACTTATTGGTAGTATTCTTCTTACACTGGCTCCTCATATGTCCTTCTCTCCACAGTTCCAACAACCTTTCTGGGTAGCAGCCTTTCCTACTGTGGCATCTTCCCTGTGTTGAAGTTGCCAGCATTGGGCTCTCTTGTGCCCCGGTTTATTACAGTGCCAGCAAAGTCCCTCAAACCTCTCTGAAAGCTGATCTTTTCTGGCGTTGAATCCTGATGACTGTACCGACCTTGGTACTTCTGTGCTGGACTTAACATAGGATTCGAATTCAAGAGATTTAGCCATTGCATCCTGCATAGTAGAGGGGTGTGCTTGCTTCGCTTGTATCTTCAGTTGTGGACTGTCCAAGGCATCTACAAACTGATCCCTCAGCAACAGCTTGAGGACATCGGATGGTGCAATTGGGTAGGCCTTGTGTGCCATACTTCCAAGTCCTGTGTCAGCTTTTGCAGGCTCTCCCCTTTAGCACGTACTCTAGTCCTAAACTTAGCCCTGTAGACTTCAGACTGATTTTGGATTCCATACCTGAGTTCTAGAGCTGTTACCAGTGCTCTATAGTTGTGTCTGTCATCTGCTGACAACTGTCCAAGTATTTCTAGTGGTT